GATCTCTAACATCTACAAGATACTGCAAAACCTCAACAACAAAAAGACAAATAACCCAATTAAAAAATGGGCAAAGGCTATGAACAGGCACTTCGGCAAAGAAGATATTCAGGTGGCTAACAGACACATGAAGAAATGCTCACGAACATTAGCCGTTAGAATAATGCAGATCAAAACTACAATGAGATATCATCTCACCCCAACAAGGCTAGCATTAATCCAAAAAACACAAAATAATAAATGCTGGAGAGGTTGTGGAGAGACTGGACCACTTATACACTGTTGGTGGGAATGTAAAATGGTACAACCACTTTGGAAATCGATTTGTCGCTTCCTTAAAAAGGTAGAAATAGAAGTACTATATGATCCAGCTATCCCGCTCCTTGGAATATATCCTAGAGAAATAAGAGCCGTCACATGAATAGATATACGCACACCCATGTTCATTGCATTACTGTTCACAATAGCAAAAAGATGGACACAACCTAGGTGCCCATCAATGGACGAATTGATAAATTATAGTATATCCACACAATGGAATACTACACAACAATAAAGAACAACGATGACGCTGTGAAACATCTTATAACATGGAGGAAGCCGTAGGTCATTATGCCAAGTGAATTTAGTCAGTCACAGAAGGACAAATATTGTATGAGACCACTATTATGAGAACTCAAGAAAATGTTTAAACACAGAAAACATTCTTTGATGGTTACGAGGGGGGGGAGGGAGGGTGAGGGTTATTTACTAACTAGATAGTAGAAAAGAATTATCTTAGGTGAAGGGAAGGACAGCATACACTACAGGAGAAGTCAGCACCACTGGACTAAACCAAAGCTATGAAGTTTCCTGAATACAATCAAACACTTTGAGGGACAGAGTTGCAGGGGTAGGGGTCTGGGGACCATGCTTTCAGAGGACATCTAGGTCAACTGGCATAACGAAGCTTATTATGAAAATGTTCTGCATCCTACTTTGGTGAGTGGCGTCTGGGGTCTTAAAAGCTTGCAAGTGGCCATCTAAGATGCATCAATTGGTCCCAATCACCTGGAGTAAAGGAGAATGAAGAACACCAAAGACACAAGGAAAGTATTAGCCCAAGAGAAAGAAAGGGCCATATAAACCAGAGACTTTATCAGCCTGAAACCAGAAGAACTAGATGTTGCCAGGCTACCACCAATGACTGCCCTTACAGGGAACACAACAGAGAGTCCCGGATGGAGAAGGAGAATCATGGGGTGCAGAACTCAAATTCTAGTAAGAAGACCAGACTTAATGGTGTGACTAAGACTAGAAGAGCCCCAGAAAGCATGGCGCCTGGATTCTCTATCAGCCCAGAACTAAAACAATTTCTGAGGTCAGCTCTTCAGACAGGGATTGGAATGGACTGTGGGACATAAAGTGATACTCGTGAGGAGTGTGCCTCTTAGCTCAAGGAGATACAAGAGACTAAATGGGCAGCTTCTGTCCGGAGGTGAGATGGGAAGGCGCAGACGGTTAGGAGCTGGTTAAATGGACATGGGGAATCAGGGGTGGAAAGGAGGAGTGTGCTGTCAAGGTATGGGGAGAGCAACTCGAGTCACATAACAATATATGTATAAAGTTTTGTATGGGAAAAAATAAAATTAAAAAAATAAACAAGAAAAGAAAACTTTTTAAAAATTTTAAACTTAATTTTGTTAATGGATAAGACTACTCAATTATACAAAAATGTTAATTCTCTTCAAATTGTCTTCTCGATTTATTGAAATTCTAATAAAAATCTCACTGTGTGTATGTGTGTGTATGTGAAACTTGATATGCTAGTTCTAAAATCTACATGGAACAATCAAGATTGCCAGGAATAACCAAGATGCTGCTAAAGAAGAATATCTAGATGGGGAAACTTGTCCTACCAGATATCAAGACTTACACAAGTATTGTAATTAAAACAGTATGGTATGGCTGAATAAACAATTCAACTTAATAAAGAAGTTGATCCTAGTCCAAAGCAACCATAATATGAGAAAGAGTTGGCATTGCAGATCACTGGGGAAATCTGAATTATTCAATAAATAGTGTTGTGATGACTGGTTATCCATATAGAATAAAAAAAAAAAAGAAATTGGATTCTACCTCAATTCATACATAAAAATGGACTCCTGATTATTTAAAGAATTAAATATGAAAAGGGAAATTATGAAACTTTTGGAAAATTTTCTAAAATTTTAGAAGAATTTCTTAAGCATACCAAGGTGAAAAACATACTAAAAGGCTAATAAATCAGTAAAATCATAATTTTTTTGTTCACCATAGAGATAATAAATAAAAGCTATAGACAAGTTAGAAGAAAATATTGGTAACGCATGTAATTAAAAAACCTCCTACAAATTAAAAAAGAAAAAAATTCCTTTAAAAAATGGACAAAACACACGAACAGCCACTTTATTAAAAAAAAAAAAAGAAGAAAATTAATTCGTCTATAAACATCTTTTTACTGCTCAATGTCATTAATAATCAGGGAATGTAAATTAAAATAAAAATGAAATACTATTTTATACCCACCAGATTATACAAAATTGAAACAGCTGGTGATATGAGTATTAACTAGGAATCAGTGCAAGGGCACTCTCGTTCACTGCTGGTGGGAATGTAAATTGGAACAGTTTTGAATGGCATTAGGCATTTTTCTAGTGAAATTGAAGATACACGTACCTTATGATCCAACAATTCTTCTCCTAAAAATACACTCTAAAGCAATAATTGTTAAATAGTGAAATTTTAATTGGTGCTGAAGTATAATTTTCTGAAAGATAAAATCATGAATCACAAAGTGTTATGGATTGAAATGTATTCCCACAAATGTGTGTCAACTCGGCTACGCCATGATTTCCAGTATTTTGTGGTTGTCCCCCATTTTGTAATCTGATGTAGTCATCCCATATGTTGTAAATCCTCATCTCTATAATGTTAATGTGGCAAGATTAGAGGCAGTTATGTTAATGAGGCAGGACACAGTCTACAGGATTATGTTGTATCTTGAGTCAACCTCTTTTGAGATATAAAAGAGAGAAGTGAGCAGAAAGAGAGAGTGACCTCCTACCACCAAGAAAGAAGGGCCGGGCGCAGAGCATGTCCTTTGGACCTGGGATCCCTGTGCTGAGAAACTCCTAGACCCGGGGGAAGATTGATGACAAGGACCTTCCCCCAGAGCTAGCAGAGAAAGCCTTCCCTGGGAGCTGGTGCTCTGAATTCAGACTTCTAGCCTCCTAAACTGTGAGAGAAGAAACTTCTGTTTGTTAAAGCCCTCCACTTGTGGTATTTCTTTTAGCAGCGATAACTAAGACACATACCAATATAAAATAAACACATATCATTTTTTTAACTCTTTAATTAATGAGGGAATCAATGAGGGAATCTGTTAAGACAGGTTCAAATGTGAATTTGAAGAATAGATGTAATCAAGAATATTACAATGAATTTGCTAAGGGGTGTTGTAATCGTTAGTCTTATGTGTCAACTTGGCTAGGCTATAAGCTCCCCCTCCAAAAAAAAAAGAAAAAACAAAACCCATTGCAGTCGAATGAATTCCAACTCACAGCGACCCTATAGGACAGAGTGGAACTGCCCCATAGGATTTCCAGGCTGTAATCTTTACAGAAGCAGTCTGTCAAATCTTTCTCCCTGATTGGTCTGGTGGGGTTCCAAACGGGTTAGCAGCAAACACTTAACCACTGCATCACCGGGGCTCTTTTAGCTATGTTATTAAAAAAAAAAAAACAACTAAACCCATTGCCAGCAAGTCAATTCCAACTCCTAGTGACCTTATATGATAGAGTGGAACTGCCCCATAGGGTTTCCAAGGAGCAGCTGGTGGATTCAAACTGCCGACCCTCTGGTTAGCAGCTGAGCTCTTAACCACTGCGCCACCAGGCTCCTGGCTAGGCTATAATACCCAGTTATTTAACCAAACACTAACCTAGGTGTTGCTTTGAAGGTATTTTGTAGATGTGTCTAACATCTATAATTGGTTGACTTTAAGTAAAAGAGACTACCCTTAATAATGTGGGTGGGCCTCATCCAATCAGTTGAAGGCATTAACAGCAAAAACTAAGGTATCCCAGAGAAGAAATTCTGCCTTAAGATTGCAGCAATTCTGCTTCAAGACTATAGTGTCAACTCCTGCCAAGTTTCCAGCCTAACAGCCTGCCCTGCAGATTTCAGACTTGCCAGCCCCCACAATGGTGTGAGACAATTCCTTAAAATAAATCACACTCAGACACACACACACACAATCACACACTATTGATTCTGTTTCTGGGGAGAACCCTGACTGATACAGGTTCAAGGTGGAAATCAATTGTATCTCTATTGGGTAAAATTCATTTGCATTTCAATGGACAATAATTATTTTAAATACTATCAGTTTTCTTGTAAAATAGCCTAGTCAATAGAAGGTCCTGTAGAATCGAATACTCCTTGGAATGTCTGCTAGATAACGCCCAGCATTACAGTTTAAGGACGCTCAGTAATTTCTTTTGCCCATTTCCAAGTCTTTGATGATTTTTTCTGACAATGGGTCCCTGAAAGGTTTTTTTGTTTCTTTTTTTTTTGGTAATGAGAAAGAAAAGAATAAATAGAAATTTAGTGCATTTCTGGTAGTAAATGTAAACATAGTTTTGTGAAAATTTTGTTTCAGATATACTAACCTATATACACAGGAATGTGGTATCGGTTTTGGTGTAAAATGCTTTTGTCCACTGTGGACTGGTATCAAAAAAGTTTGAAAGCCACTAATGCATTGACACATTGTAAAGTTCAGCAGAGAAAAAAAAACTGCACATTCTTCCTTCCCTTCAATATAGGCATCCACTCACAGTGCCGGGCTCAGTTACGCAGACTCAAAAAATGATCAGGGTGAATGGTAAAGACGGCAGAGAAGCACCGTGCCCGTTGCTCGTCTCTGTTATCTCCTCGACACTGAGGTCCGCTGGCTTCCGGGACGACACGTGAATGGAGGGAGTTTGGGCAGAGTGGAAACGGTGAGCTGGAACGTCCCAGCAAGCAGGAGCGTGGGCTTACAGCTGGGCTGCTCGCCGGTGGGGAATCAACCAAAAGCCCTAGGCTACAGAAATGTAGCACCAAGAGTCACCAGCAGGTCCCGCTATGGGCGAACCGGAGAACACTGCGCACGCGCAGTCGAAGACAGCAGCCAGTGGTGCGCAAGGGCGAAAGGCATCTTTCCCCACGCCCAGCTTCTCCTCCAGCCCTCCATCGGAGGATCGCATCGCCGAGTCACCTCCCGACCCGTCTTCCCCGCCCCCACCGCGCCTGCTGGTCCGACTGCGCGCGCAGAGGCTGAGCCGGCGCCAGCGGGAAAGGGAAGCGGCGGGTAAGAAGGGCCTGAGTCCCGGGCGCGTCTACGACGGGGTTGGGAACTTCCTCTTCGACCCTCTCAGGCTCTCGGGACCCCTGACGCGGAGAGTGAGAGGTGCCTCTGGAGCCGGTTTTCTCCCCGCCTTTCTTCCTGCCGCCTCAGGCCTTTCCTTGCTAGTCTCAAAGCGTTTTCGCCTTTTTGGAGGCTTCGCCTGGTCCGGACAGTACCTGTATCTCCTCTGCCCGCCCCCACTGGGGAATCCGGAGGGGGCGCCGCTGGCCTGTCTGTTGTCCCCTCAGCTGTCTGAGATGCCAGACCCGCCGTTTAGATAGCGTTGGTATGTCTTACCGCCCCCAGGGTCGCAGCTCTGATGGCACAGTGGTTAAGCGTTCGGCTGCCTAACCAAAAGGTCTGCAGTTCGAATCCATCAGCAGCTCCTTGGAAACCCTATGGGGCACCCTATTCTACTCTGTCCTGTAGACTCACTATGAGTCGGAATCGACTGGACGGCAACGGGTTTAGTGTCCAGCAGCTTAGGGCTAGCGCTCCAAGTCCACTCTCTAGTTCAAGCGCAAAGAACCTCGTTCTTTTGACGTTCATCTTGGGATTCTTTCAGACACCCTTTGCTGAAGCACCTTCCCGATGCTCCTCGTCACTAGGTTCACAGCCACCAGACATGTCCTTTTTACTTCATTTGGGTGTCCCTATCATTTCCTAATAATCTGCCTTTGAAATCCTTTGAGGCAGGCCCCATACATCCCTATGTGATGTCTCAGAATTGGGTTTTTTACCTTTGGAAATATGGGCCCGATGGAATGACGTACTCCACTGGCAGTGGGATAGTAGCAGTTACTGAGAAGCATCTCAGCAGATTAGGATTTCTGCTGAGTGTCTGCTACCAGAGTGGATATTTAGTAAACTCTTGTAGTAGGAATCACTATTTTAGCCCAGTGGCTATGCTTGGTGCGGTGCCTTGAAGTTGGGAACAGACGAGGTACGCTGTAATTAAACAGTCACCACTGGGGTCCAAAATCTGCTGACAGGGAGAAATCTAAAACACAAAAAAGTCTGACAGCCATGTCATGTTTAATAATAGCTGCAGGTCAAATTTTTATGTAGAAACACACTCTGCTTTAATGTGCCAGTTAAATGTAATATGTTGACATTAAGTAGATGTCAACATATTATAGAACCTCTCAATCAAATTTTTCAATAAGTTAATTCCTAGATAGTCATGATAATCAGCTTATATATTTTAATTTTGATAAATTTGACTTGGAATGTATAAACTTAGCCATTTTTTTCTAACATCAGCCCACACCGTTTCTGTCAGTCTTACTATCAGTTGTCCTTATGCCTAAAGTATAAAACCTTAGTCATCTTAGAGTCCCCCTGTGCTTCATCTCCATATGTCTTCTAATTACAAATCTCATGGTTTCTTTATTCAAAAGATAACTTGGATTTGTCCTTTTGGTTCTCATTACTGAAGCTGTAAGGCTGTTTTCTAGGACTTGATTACTTCTTAGCTCATTTTCCTGAAAGCCTGCATAACAGTTCTGAAACATGGCTGTTGTCATATTTACTTGTCATGAACCTGTAAAGTCTCATGTCCAAATTGCTGTACTTGGGTTTTAAGGCCCTTTCTCTATAAGCTTGCCTAATAATTCCTATGCAGTGTGATATGGTGGGAAAAAAAACCCTGGATTTAGAGTAAGAAGACCTGGATTCAAATACTGAGACAGTCATTATAGTAACACTATCCTTGGGGAAACTTCAGCTTCCTTATCTCCCATTTATGATAATATCTTTTCTTCCTGCCTCTTAGTTATTGTGAGAATTACAATGAACATAATATATGGAAAAGGTAACAGCTTAAAAAAACACAACCTAAGCTGTTACTGTAATTTCTTACTGTACTTATTCATTTTACAAACTTTTGAAGACCTAATGTATGTTAGGTATGGTTGCTACAGACAGGAAAGATAGTCCCTGTCCTTAAGAGACTGTCTTTCAAGGAGTTTCAGAGTGTGTGTGTGTGTGTGTGTGTGTGTGTGTGTATGCGTATGCGTGCGCGCATATGTCTGTATATGTGTAGCCAGTGGGGCAGTAGGGTGTCTGACAAGGTAGAGTGTGATGTGGGCTATAGTATAGGTACTATAAGTAAGCATAGGAAGAGCACCAAATCCAGAGGAGAGAATGACAGGAAAGGGTTCCTAAAGGAAATTATAGTTGAACAGTCTTAAAATGTAATGAAGATTCAGATGGAAAAGGTGAGGAAGGGTTGGATGAAAGAGATACTTTTAGAGAAATGCAAATTGCTAGCTTTTGCTGGAGTGTTAAGTTCAAAGAGGAATATAGGAGATGTAACTGGATAGGTAGTTAGGGGTGAGATTTGAAGGGCTTTGGGTGCTAATGGAAGCCATTGAAGGATTTTAAGCAGACAGCTGGACTGATCACAGTGGCCTTTTTTTTTTTTGCATGCATACTTTATGTTTTGCAACCATCACCACTGTTTATTTCCAAAACTTTTTCATCACCCAAAACAGAAACTCTGTACCCATTAAGCAATAACTCCCTCCCCCAATCCCCTGGTAAACACTAACCTACCTTTTATTTCTATGCATTTGCCTATTATGGATATTTCATTCCATATATATGGGATTATATAATATTTGTCCTTTTGTGTCTGGCTTATTTCACTTAATGTTTTAAAGGTTCATCCATGTTGTAGCATGTATCAGAACTTCATTTCTTTTTATGGCTGAATAATATTCCAGTGTGTGTATGCACCACATTTAACGTATCCATTTATCTGTTAATGGACATTTGGGTTGTTTCTACTTATTGGCGATTGTGAATAATGCTGCAGTGTACAAGTATCTGTTTGAGTCCCTGCTTTCAATTCTTTAGGGTATATACCTACACAATTGCTTTTTAAAAGTTCATTCTGGCTGTGGTATATGCTTCCTTACTGCAATGTACAAAACATTTTTTCTTCCTTTATGTCTTTTCTCATTTTCTTTACTCCACCCAGAAGGGCTTATGCCCTCTCCTTATACCTTGATACTATTGATCTTTCAGTGCCCAGTCAAGTCCCATTTTTTTCTCTGTGACGTTTTCCCCAATGATTTTAGCCTGCACTATTTAGTCCCTTCTCTGAAACCATATTAGAAATAGTACCACACAGTTTAGTCCTTACTTGTTTAATGAGTGTTTTATGTCACTGAGTAGATAGTAAACTCCCTTGAGGGTAGGGAATGTTTCATATGTGTATGAATGGAAGACATGTTAAACACAAAAATATGTTGCTTGATTTCCTTGTATTTTCTTTTTCAGGGTGGGGCAGATTATGGGCAACAGTTCTTTTAACTGATATATCATCATCATGGCTAATGAGGATAGTCCTTTTACATCAGATAAACATGCCCAATTCATCATGGCTCAGATCAACAGAATGAGGAATGGGCAGCATTTCTGTGATGTGCAGCTACAAGTTGGGAAGGAAACTTTTAACGTTCATCGGCTGGTTTTGGCTGCCAGTAGTCCCTACTTTGAAGCTTTGTTCACTGGAGGAATGAAAGAGTCCTTAAAAGATACTGTACAGATTCTAGGAATTGAAGCTAGAATCTTTCGTATACTTCTAGATTTCATTTACACAGGTATGTTAAGTGAGCCTGTTGCTTTGAATAAAGAATGATGCAATCGCTCATGCACTGCTATTGGAATATAAATTGATCTAACTTATATGGAAGGGGGCGGTGATGGTTCAGTGGTAGAATTCTCTCCTTCCATGTGGGAGATCCAGTTTGTTTCACAGCCAGTGCACCTCACGTACAACCACCACCTGTCTCTCAGTGGAGGCTTGCGTGTGGCTATGATGCTGAACAGGTTTCAGCAGAGCTTCCAGACTGACTAGGAAGAAAGGCCTGGCAATCTACTTCTGAAAATCAGCCATTGAAAACCCTATGGATCACAATGGTCCGATCTGCCACTGATCATGGGGATGACAGAGGACTGGGCAGCGTTTCTTTCCTTTATGCATGGGTCGCTGTGAGTCGGGGGCTGACTCAACGGTAGCTAACAGCAGCAACAACAAAAATAACTTATATGGAGAATAATTTGGTAATATGTTATGAGCCTTTCAAAAGTTATCTTTTGACCCAGTATTCCTTTTCTAGGAATCCTAAAGAATTAATTAGAGACATAGGTAAATATTTATGTACCAGGATATTTATTGTAACATTATTTATCACAATATATACTATACATGTATTATATGTATGTATATAGTATATAATTGAATACAGTAATTATTTCCACAGTAGGTTATGGAGCACATATATATAATGGGATATTATTTAGATCTTGCAAATGATTTAAAGCATACATATTCTTTCATGAAGAATGTTTATAATATATTAAATGAAAAAATCAGAATGTAAGTGTCCCTACTTTGTGAAAAACAAAAAAATCATTTGTGTATATATGTGTATGGGAGATAAACTGGCATGTTGACAGTGTTTATCTGTAGGTGATAGACTTATGGAAGATTCTTGTTTCTTCCCTCTTTTTCTGTTTTTTTCCCCCAGAATATTTATAATCAGCATGTATCATTTAAATGAAAACTTTTATTTTTAAAATGTTTTAGACAGTTTTAATGACATAAGAAATGCACATAAATACTGGCAATACACTAAAGAAATACACTAAAGTGTTAATACTGGGTATCTTTGTGTATGGAAGAATGTGTGATTTGCATTTTTATATTTTTCTGCCTTAAATTTTTTTTCTACAGTGAGTATATATTACTCTTACAGTCAGAAAAAACGTTTGAAAACAAGGACTGTTTATTTGGTCTAGCTTTGAGAATATACCATGCTCTCCTTAAGGGACTGCGTGATGGGAACTAATTAAGATAATTTTGTGGCCTTATAAAGCATTGTTTTTTTAAGTAAATGGTATTTAAGCCTGGAAAATGACAAAAGGTGATTTTTTTTCTTTATACTGTTACATATTCCTTTTTGGAAAATTTCAGAAAAGTGATAGCTCTTAATTTGGGGATTATAAAAATGATAGTCTTTTATCTACAGAAAGCAATGCAGCTCTTTGTATTGGCTTATGTATAAACTAACCCCTTGACCTCATTGAGGTGATTAAACTGCTTCATAACTGCCCTTGCTTCTCTTATTTGCAAATATAAATTAATACAGATTAATCCATGGAGTATTGAACTACATAAAAAATAGAAAAAATATCACAAGTTTTCTATTCTGCCTGTGTTGTCTGATAGTAGCAACAAGAGATACTTAGTGAAAGAATGTTCATGGCATCATAACCCCATTACTGGTGATCAGAACTTCTATCAAAGAAATGAAAGATAAAACCCAGAGAAATAAAAGCTACTCAGCAGATCTGGAGGAAAATAACATGGTAGAGAATAGACTTTTAAGGCTAAACTTGGTATAATGGTTAAGACCAGCATTTGGTTGGTATTTATTTTTCCACAAAAATGAACCTATAGTAGGCATTCGGAGGCTGGTATGGTGGCTTCATATGTCATTAATCAGTTGCTATCAAGTTGATTCCAACTCAGGGCAACCCCATGTATGTCAGAGTAGAACTGTGCTCCATAGGGTTTACAATGGCTGATTTTTTGGAAGTAGATTGCCAGAGGTTTCTTCAGAGGTGATTCTGGGTGAGCTAGAACCTTTCGGTTAGCAGCTGAACACATAAACCATTTGCACCACTTTAGTGTCCCAATATTCTTCCAGCATTTTGCTCTACCATCTATAACGTGTAACTTCTAATCTTAGGATCACTGAGCTCCAGCCAGTGGACTGAGGAAGGGGGAGAGGCAAAAGGGCCTGCCAGCTGAGTCTATCCTCTTTTTAAGCTTTTCTGGTAGCCCCACCCAACAACTACTGCTCATATCCCTGTTGTCCAAAGTCAGTCAGAAGTTCACCTCTTACCTTCAAGAGAGGCTGAGACATGTAATTTTCAGCAGGGCACAGTTGCTACCCACAACAAAATCACGATATGTTTGTAAGAATGAAAGGAGAATGAATATTGGGTATTTATTGAACAGGGAACTTTGTAGTCTTTTTAGTTCTTTAAAAATACGTTCTTTGATTTTCATTGTAAATAGCATTTACTTTTTGAAGGTGTGGGAGGAAGCAAAGCCTGTTCTACTTGTCTCTTATTTGGACTTGGGTATACATTTTTTAAGGAACCGTAGCGGTGCAACAGTTAAGCTCTCAGCTGCTTACTGAAGAGTGGCGGTTCCAACCCAGCGGTTCCAACCCACTCGGCGGCTCCTCCGGAGAAAGACCTGGCAATCTGCTTCCGTAAAGATTACAGCCAAGAAAACCCTATGGGGCACTTCTACTCTGTGACATGGGGTCACTCTGAGTAGGAAAAGACTTGACGGCACCCAACAACAAACAACAACATACACTGTATTCATTATTAATCATTCACAATTCTAATAGGTCTTAAATAGTATATTTCTCACTTTAGGTTTTTATATGCTTGGAATAAAATCGACCTGGGTTTGAGATCTAGCTCTGCCACTAATTAGCTGTGTGATATGATGCATATCATTTAGCTTTAGTCAATCATTCATTCTTTCCACAAGTATTTTTTTATTGAACTGGTTTCTTTGAGCTAGGCACTGGGATGTGATATAAACCAGACAGACATGGCCTCTGCCTTCACAGGGTTTTATGGGTATTGCAGATTAGGTACTTAGAAAACAGCTCGTGTGAGCCTCATTTCTTTCACTTATAAAGTAGGGATTGTAGCACTTTATAATTCATTTGAAGGTTAAATGAGATAACCTTTTTTAATAAATGTAAAAGTGCTTTGTAAACTATCAAGCCCTATTGAGGTGTAGGACATTCTTTTTATAACTCTCAAGAAATAAATAATTACTCTCTTGGCATTATCCATTAGCAGTCAGTCAGCTCCATTATTTCAGAAGCCATGCTCTTCTCCAGATTTGTGGGCAATTCTCATTTCATTCAAGTAAATCATCTCAGTATAAGACTGAATGGAGAGTTTATCCTTACTAAGTAGGAGAATTATAGTGTTGTTGTTTTTTCTCCTTGTAAGTATAATTGGCTATTTGATGTCCTCCCAAAGTCATTATATAAATATATGAAAGTAAAGCCCTTTGGAAGGAGCCCTGGTGGCGCAATGATTAAGCGCTCTGCTGCTAACTGAAAGGTTGATGGTTCTAACCTACCCAGTCACTCCTTGGGAGAAAGACTTGGTGATCTGCTCCCATAAAGATTACAGTCTAGAAAACCGTATGAGGCAGTTCCATTCTGTCTCATGGGGTCTCTATGGTACACAACAACAAAGTCCTTTGGAAAGAAAGCAGTATATATAGTTACTTAAATGTTAAATATTTAATAACCTCTCATGTTTTGTAGACTCTTGATTATACCTAATATTATATGCTAACATTTGTATGATACTTTATAATAACTGAAGATAGGGACCATGTCTTAACTCTCCCCAGATCCTCAATAAATGTTTGTTAGATGCATGTAAAACCCAAACCCACTGATGCCAAGTTGATTCCAACTCATAGCGACCCTATGTTAAAAGCATGGACTTTGATACTAATTCCTACCTTGCAAGTTGCTTAACTGTATTTCTTAGGGACAAGTTACTTAAACTTTCTGATTCTGTCTCCTTAATACAAAAATAATAATAATAGTACCTGCCTTATGGGGTTGTAGTGAAGGTTACATGAGTGTATAAAACAATTAATACTGTGTCTGTTTCATTGTAAATGTTTCATAAATGTTAGGTATTGTTATCATTAAGCTGGTGCCCTTTCCACAAATCCTTTGTTGCCTTTTTACTTAACAAATATTAAGCTATCAGTGGAATGAAGTATAATGCTTTTTGAATATGCTAAGCTGAATATTTGTTTTTATTTTAATGGCTATTTTGTCTCCCTGTTTCCCTAGGTATAGTGAATATAGGTGTGAATAATGTCCAGGAGTTGATTGTTGCAGCAGACATGCTGCAGTTGACTGAAGTTGTTAATCTTTGCTGTGAATTTCTGAAAGGACAAATTGATCCACTGAACTGCATTGGGATCTTTCAGTTCTCTGAGCAAATTGCCTGCCATGATCTTTTGGAATTCACAGAAAACTATATTCATGTCCATTTTTTGGAGGTTCATAGTGGGGAAGAGTTCCTGGCACTTACAAAAGATCAGCTGGTCAAAATTTTGCGAAGTGAAGAGCTTAGCATTGAGGATGAATACCAGGTCTTCTTAGCTGCAATGCAGTGGATTCTGAAAGATCTGGGAAAGAGAAGAAAACATGTGGTAGAAGTGCTAGACCCAATTCGATTCCCTTTATTATCTCCTCAGAGGCTTTTAAAGTATACAGAAGGTAAGTTTTTTGATGCATATTAAATAGTTGATTAATTATCCAATAACTTTTTTTCTCAGTTTGAAATGTGATTGTTTTCATTTTTCAATTCAGTAGTGGACATTTATTAAGTGACTATTGTAGGTAAGATATGACTTTTGTGTTTTGTGGGTGGACAGTAGTTTTTCAGTATGTCTACCCATTATTTTAATCAAATCCTTACATACATTTCTTGAAATTAATACTAAGAGATATTAGTGTTGTAGATAAAATTACTGACATAATAATAACATACCACTGCTACTGCTCATAGTACCAGTTATTTCAGTAAAAGATTTCCTCTTCCCACTCTGAAAAATTCAGTGAACTGTAACATTTGAGGAAAATGCCTGTGCTGTAAAGAAAAACAAAACCCAATAAATCCTAGAAGTCCTCTCATTATAAAATGGATTTTATATTGATACAATATCGTAGTTTCTGAATAGCCTTTGAATTATCTTTAGATGCTAAACTTTTTTCTGAAAAAACTTTTCACAATAATGTAGTTTTATCTTTATATTTAAAAAATTATATTTTAATTTAAAAAAATGACTTTAGACCTGGTTTTAAGATTTAAAGCTTTAACTCTTGACATGCACTGAAGCATTATGGTATGACTGAATTACAAATGATCTTACTACGATTAAATACACCATTAAGCATTAGAGATGTAATTCTTGAAAGAATTATTTTTGGGTTGCTAGTTTTTCTGTACTCTTAACAGTGTTAACAGAATTTTGTAGCTTTTTCTGGGTGATATCTTGTATTAATACATATATTTAAATACTACAACAAGGAGAGAGAAATTATCCAGACACTTTTACATGAATCCTGAGAATTTAGGGATGGAACAAAGGCTTTCATGGTTCAGTTGACTTTTCCCAAGTGTAGCAGATACACAGTGGTAAAGTTAAGTTCCTCTGCTAGGAGCAAGAAGGCATGTTTTCCTACAGCTTTTTAGTTTTAGAATATTCAAATCTTGCACTGGTTATTCAGCATGCCCAATAGTTATCACCTAAATAGTTATCACCTAAAACTGCAATGAATCAAGGAAGAAGTCAGTTGAGGATTTTCAGAGGCAGCTTTAATTTTCAACTTTGAAACTTTTTGATTATATTGGAGAAAAGCTGGGCAATTTATGTGGAAAAATAATGAGACTACCACAAAATTCAGAGAGGGAACAAAAGACTTAATTGAAGTGGTTAAATTATTATATGAAATGTATTTTTTCCTGTGTATGTGTGTTTGTGTGGATGTGTGTGTATATATTGATTGTGATTTGGAAAAATTTACATAGACAATTAAGTTCTCATTTAACAATTTCTATACATATTATTCAGTGACATTGGATACACTTTTCACCATGTGTCAGCATTCTTATTGTTTTCATTCTGGTTGCTCTTTTTCATTAATCTAGCTTCCTTTCCCCCCCCTTACCTTCTCATCTTTGGTGTAGGGTAAATGTTGACTGTTAGGTCCCATATAGATGATAGTTTAGAGGAGTACTCACAAGTGATATTATTTATTTTATGAGCCACTCTGTCTTTTGGCTGATAGGTGAGCACTGGGAGTGGTTTGAGTTTCAAGTTTAAAGGGTATCTCAGGGTGATAGTTTCGGGTGTTTCCTCTTGTCTTTACCGGTCCAGTAAGTCTGGTCTTTCTTAGAAATTTGAGCTTTGTTCTACATTTTTCTCCTATCTGGGACCATCTGTTGTATCCCTGGTCAGAACCGACAGTAGTGGTAGCCGGGCTTCATTTTGTTCTTCTGGTCTCAAGGTAGGTGAGACCGTGGTTCATGTAGATTATTAGTCCTGTAGACTAGTTTCTTCTTTGAGTCTTTAGTTTCCTTCTTTCTCTTTTGCTCCAGATGCACAGAGACCAATAGTTGTATCTTAGATGGCCACTCGCAGGCTTTTAAGACCCCAGACACTACTTACCAAACTAAGATGTAGAACATTATCTTTAGGAGCTGTGTTAGACCAGTTGACCGAGTTGCCCTCTGAGACTATGGTCCTAAGCCCTCAAACTCAGTAAACCAATTCTGTGTTTGGTTATGTAGTGTATATATTTTTTATTTACCACTGGAGTAACTCAGGTAATTTAATATTATTAGATATATGACACCATATTTATTTTTCGCATTTTAGAGAATGACTTAATTTTTATAAAAACGGGACATGCTTATTATAAAGAGTTTGGCTAATCCAGAAGTATAAAGAAAGAAAACAACAAATCACTCAAAGTCTGCCATTCAGAAACAACCAGTTTTAATTAACATTCAGTAAACATTTTATGAAGCATTGGTGGTTCAGTGGTAGAATTCTCACCTCCCATGTAGGAGACCTGGGTTTGATTCCTGGCCAATGCACCACATACGCAGCCACCACCCATCTGTCAGTGGAGGCTTGCATGTAACTATGATGCTGAACAGGTTTCAGCAGAACTTCCAGACTAAAACAGACTAGAAAGAAAGCCTTGGTAATCTGTTTCCGAAAATCAGCAATGAAAACCCTAAGGATCACACCAGTCCAATCTGCAACCAGTCATGGGATGGCACAGGACTGGGCAGCATTCTGTTCTGTTGTGCCTTGGGTCACCATGAGTCAGGGGTGACTTGATGGCAGCTAACAACAGCAAACATCATTCTAGATACCTCTTTGTAGAAGGATGGGTGATGGGTGGATGAATGTTTGGATGAATGGACAGAAAAAATTTTTATAAGAATAAGAATCATTCTATATAGACTGTTTTTAATACAAAAATTCATTTAAATTTCACTAAAAGTTAACAAAAGAAGAAACTGAAGTAATAACTAATTTCAGATAATTGTTTCTTCATTCCAAGAAATATTCACCTAAAAGATTCTTCTAGAGTTAAGGACAAAAGATGAAAATCATTAAGAGATGAAATCATAGTTTCATTTTAATTGTTTCCATTTCAAGCAGTATTGACTCTCTCCTAAGAAAAATAAGGTGATTAACGTGTTATATTTCTTCTCACTTCCCGTCAAGGTTTATTTTTAGAGCCTTTATGTGTTGTTTTGCAGTCATTATTCCCCTAGTTCTGTAGTTTTAGCTCCATATTTAAATGAATTGATGCTCTCTCCCAGTCCTTTAACCATGGTTTTCTCATTATGAATTCTTTTTTTTTATGGCTGGATTTCATCATCAAGTACTTTCTTCAGGAAAGGTTCATAGTTACTGTCTTTCCTGAATTCTTTCACATTTGAGAATTGCTTCCTGTTGCTTTTTTACTTTAATAGCAATTTCAGTGGGCACAGTATTATTAAGTTATGTTTATACTCTTGCCTCTGTATCCATCCCCCACCCAAACTTTGTAAGGCTTGGTTCTTTTTTTTTTTTTTAAATGACTTGCTTTTTCTGCTTGGATGCCTAAAGAATTCCTTTTCATTATTTGTGATTTGTGTTGAAATTTGTCATTCTTCATTAGGCTATACCATATACACCCTTTTATTTTGAAGGTTCAGTTTTTCTTTCATTTTGGGAAAATTTTCCTGTATTAAATTTCTGAATATTTTTAATGCTCCATTAGTCTTTAGTCCTTTTATTGGATCCTCTTGGTCTTTCATATTTATCATCTTCTAATGTCATAATATTTTGTGTTTTTGCTCTGTATTTGTTGTATTTGAAAATAGTTGTTTTCTCAAATCTTTCCTCTAAATTGTTAATTTGATTTTCAGTCAGATCTACTGTGTTCCTGGTTGTTTCTAATTTACTTATTAAATCTGCAAAGCTGTGATTTTAGTTCTCACACTTTGTCCTTAGCAGTGTAGTTTCCTTTTCATCTCATTCTGTCTTTGAGCTCTTGTTTTATGGTATTTATATTCTTAAATAATTCTATCGTGGGAAGCACTTACAGGGAAGAATCTGTTTCTGTTTTGGATATGTTTTCTTCCAGACTGATTTCTATCTTTTTTTTTCCTGGGATGTATTTTAATAGATGTAATGCTATTTCTTGATACTTTGTTCATGATTAACGTGGACAACTCTGTTCAGACCTGTTAGCTCTGATAATATAAGACCTAATTCTCTTTGACACCCTTTCTACCTTAGTGCAACTGCTAACTATATTAGTGTAACTCCAGTTTAAAATTTGAGATCCATGTGTTGTGTTCTCACTCCTTCTCTCTAGTCTGAGGCATGAGGGTGGTGGAATAATAGAGCTCTCCTAGGGCTGAGGTCCTTGCTTGGGGACCTGGACTTTGATCACTCTCTTCTCACATCCTGTTACTGATCTTATATCAGGGTTTACCTAACCTAGCCAGGGATATATCCCACTAGGTGGACTTTGGCTAACTGTGCTTTGTTAAATGGCAACCCCTGGTATTTCTCTTTACTGTTACTGAGGTTATTTAAGATCTTTTTCTTTTTTAAATAATATTTTATTATGTTTTTGGTGAAAGTTTACGCAATGAATTAGATTCCCATTGGACAATTACTATACAAATTGTTCAGTGACTTTAGTTACATTTTTTCACAGTGTGTCAACATTCTCTTTAATTGCGTTCTGGTTGTTCTGTTTCCAGTACTCTAGTTTCCCTGCTTCCCCTTATCTTCTCATCTTTGCTTTAGAGTGATTGTTATCCTTTTAGTCTCATATAGATGGTTTTTCACTGGAGCACTGTACTCATGGCTAATATCCTTTATTTTGTGTGCCAATTTGTTATTTCACTAAAAGGTGACCCCAGGGGGTAATTTAAGTTCAAGGTTTAAAGAGCATTTCAGGGCGATAGATAGTCTCAGGGAGTCCTCTAGTCTCAACTGTCTAGTAAGTCTGGACTTTTTAAGCATTTGAGTTCTGTTCTGCATTTTTCTCCCATTCTATCAGGGTCCATTTGTTTTGGCCCTGATCAGAATGGTCGATGGTGGGCAACATGTAGTTCTTCTGGTCTCAGGGTAGATAAAGCAGTAGCTTGTGTAGGCTATTAGCCCTGTAGACTAGTTTCTTCCCTAAGACTTAGGTTTCTCTTTTGCTCCTGATGAGTAGAGATCAGTAGTTGTATCTTAGATGGCTGCTCGCAAGCTTTTAAGATCCCAAACGCTACTTACCTCACTAGGATGCAGAGCATGAACTTTGTGGTGCCAATTGACTGAGCTGTCCCATGAGACTAAGGTGCTAAGTAAGGGCTTTTTCTTTTAATGGTTTTGTCCTTGACTTTTTTCAGTGCTGCTTTTCACCTCCTCATTCCACTTCTCTCCAAATTGTTAGTTATTACTGAGAGTTCTCAAGATTTTGTTAGTTGACCTTCTTTCCTTAATACTGCTTCTGAGGTATAGAGACAAGGCTAGGAGACCGTCCCTTGCTAGCATATACAGAACCTTTGTGCAAATTAGAAAATAGTGCCTCCTCTCCCCCTGGCAGTGGACAGGCCTAATAGCTTGGCAAGTGGAAACAGGTTGATTTTCATTCTCAGCTAGGTACTCTTGAGCAGGGTACAACTTACCCAATCATACTCAAGGCCCTTTTAGGAGACGGTCCTCATCCCACCAGAATCTTCTGTATCTTGCTTTGTCTATCACTTTTAAAAGTTTATGACATAATTATATATCCTTTATGGTATTAGGTTGTAACTATTGAATTTTTGGTTATTTTAATTTTTTTCACTGTTAGCTGATTTCACTTTGTCATCTTTTTTTTGGTGGGGGGGATGTTTCCAAATTTTATTTTTTATTGTGCTTTAGATGAAGGTTTATAGAGCAAATTAGTTGCTCATTAAACAATTAATATACATATTGTTTTGTGACATTGGTTGCCAACCCCACGACATCAACACTCTCCCTTTCTTGACCTTGGGTTCCCCATTATCAGCTTTCCTGTCCCCTCCTGCCTTCTCGTCCTAGCCCCTGGGTTGGTATGTCACTTTGCCATCTTTATTTGGAAATCTTTGTATATGTGTCTTCAACTTGAATATTGTAAGCATATTTTTAAAAACAATCTTTTTTTTTTTTACTGTGTTAAGTATATATATAACAAAAGTTTGCCATTTGAACATGTTTTAAATGTACAATTGAATGACATTAATTACATTCATCATGTTGTACAATGATCACTACTGTCCATTTCCAAATTTTTCCATCACCCTTAATAAAAAGTCTTTGATAGATTTAAGGAAAGTATATTCTTTAGTAGCAATAAGAAAGATAATACTTAGTACTATAGGAAACAAACACATCGTTTTATGATGAGTTTTTATATCTTGATTGTTAGATATGTCTTACCTTTATAGAAACATTGTCTTTTCAATATTATTTAAAAATTGTTTAAAATATTGTCTTTTAAACATTGCTTAGGAGTATCTGATTTTAATCTTCGTGTTGCATTGCAAGCACTTTTGAAAGAGTACTGTGAAGTGTGCAAATCTTCCAAAGAGAACAAGTTTTGTAGTTTTCTGCAGACATCTAAGTTTCGACCTCGGAAGAAAGCAAGAAAGTACCTGTATGCAGTAGGTGAGAGCCTTTTAAAAAATAATAGGAATTATCTTTATATTCAAAATCAAAGCCTTTTTAATATTTTGTTATTACTATACATGTCAGAATATGTAGGTGTGTCAGATAGGCATATGTAATTTCACATGCAGACTACAGATTTAGAAATTGTGTTTATATATTATGGTGAGCACATGTAAAAATAAATAACTGCTTATCTGACATTTACTATTCCATGACCTAAATCTCTGGGTCTTAGATTATTCAGTTATTACCTAACAGCTGACTAAAGAAACACTGCTTTAAAAGTTAAAACACTGCTTTTAAAAGTTAAAAATTTAAATTCTAGTAAAAGATAAAGGTAAACAAATTCTAAATTTTTGAACTGTTCACAGTGTCTTATATATATATGGCAGCTCTAAAGCATTTATTTCTTACTGTGAAGTATTTATACTGAATGTTTAGATACTACTAGCATTTCCCATGTTTAGCAGTAAGGGATTTGCTATGTACTTCCTTTTTTTCCTTTGTTCAGGTGGATATACTCGATTGCAGGGGGGACGCTGGAGTGATAGCAGAGCCCTCAGCTGTGTAGAACGTTTTGACATGTTTAGCCAGTACTGGACCACTGTGTCTTCACTTCATCAGGCTCGATGCGGGCTGGGAGTAGCAGTCCTGGGAGGGATGGTCTATGCTATTGGAGGTAATAATAAAAATGTCTTATTTCCCTTATTTGTCTCAGAACATGGTTATCTTCTCAGGACTTCCAGTACAGTTAACAGTGGAATCATTAAGTATTTCAGTATTTAGCTTTGTAGTGTTTGCTGACTGATTCTGGTCTGCCCAGGTGGTTGTGATCCTGTAAACCACAGGAACGATTTTTAAACTTTTTTTTTTTAATCTGGCATGTATCTTTTACTCAGTAAATGTAATTGTTATTGATTATATTAATTTATAATGTTGATTTTTAATTTTTAGATGTGAAGTATAATACATTAATACATATGGAAAAGTACATAAATATATCAACAGCATGATAAATAATTGAAGAAACTTTTAGGATAACCATTTCCCTTTGTTGCTTTATACTTTTCACTACCTATGTAGGCTCTCCTTAGCCATATCCTTAAGTTTGCCTATTTTTGAACTCTTTAATCTAAATGAATTATATAACCATTCTTGCTCTTTTTCACCCAACATTATGTTTCTGAGATTTATTCATGTTGTTTCTCTCACATAGTCATTGCTGTACGGTTTCCTGTTGTATACCAAGGACTATACCAAAATTTATTAATTTGTTATATTATTGTGAGATATTTGGAATGTTTCCAGTTTTTTACTATTAACAACAATGGTGCCGTCAAAAATTCTTGTATGTATAAACAGGTGCCTTGTAAACAAGCTTCTTATGGTGTATACCTAGGAGTGGAACGCTGGGTCATAATGTATTCAGATCTTCAATTTTACTAGATAATTCCAAACTATTTTTCAAAGTGGTTGCATCATTTTATACTTTACCCACATTTTTGCTAACTTTTGGTATTGCCAAACTTGAAAATTTTTGTTTATTGTTGGATGTAGTGATATCTCATTGTGGTTTTAATTACACTTATGTGATAAGTAATGACATTGAGCACTTTTCATTGTTTTTTTGGCCATTTGATTTCTTCTTTGAGGACGTGACTTTTCAGATCTTTTGCCTATTAAAAAAAATCGTATTATTGATTTGTAGATGTTTCAGGGGTCCCCAAGGATACCCCCAATTTGGTGATTTGCTAGAAGGACTCACAGGACTCAGAATTTAGTTGTATTTACAGCTAAGATTTAGTAGAGAGAAAAAATACAAAATAAAATCAATAAAGGGAAAGGCACATGGTGTGAAGTCTAGAGGAAACCAGTCGAAAGTTTCCAAGAGTCCTCTCCCAGTGGAGTCAGATAAGACATGCTTAATTCCTCCAGCAATTAGTTGTAACATGTGGGATGTGTTGTCTACCAGTGAAGCTCATTAGAGACTCAGTGACCAAGGTTTTTATGGGGAGCTGGTCATGTGGATGTCCTCTTTCTAGCACTTATCAAAGTTCCAGACTCTCAAAAGGAAAGCACATATGGAGCATAAACCATGCTGTTTGTACAAATGGTTTAGGCACAATGAGCCACTCTTATCACTTAAGGAAATTTTTCTATCACTGTAGGGAACTGTTTACCAGCCAAGTTCCCAGACTAGAGACAAGGGTCATCCTTGCAAGCAAGCCTTTCTAAGAATAGGCAGTCTCATGCCTGCTCTGTTAATTCTTTTGCATAGTAGGAATTCTGTATACATTCAGGATTCTAGTCTTTCATAAAGTTATATGCACTGCAAATTTCTTCTATTCTGCTGATTCATTTTTCACTTTCTTTATACTATCTTTTGGTAAACAGATGTATTTAATTTTAATGTAGTCAAATCTATTGTTTTCTACCCTTCGTGATTTTTTTTTTGTGTCTTAAGATATCCTTCCCTACTACAAAGTCATGAGGATATATACCTATATTATAAAATTTTATAGTTTTGCCACTACACTTATATGTAATCCACCTGGAATTGAGTTTTTAAGCATAGTATGAAATACTTGCAGCATTGGTGGTTCAGTGGTAGGATTCTCATCTTCCATGCAGGAGACCCGGGTTTGATTCCTGGCCAGTGCACCTCATGCACAGCCACCACCCATCTGTCATTGGAGGCATGTGTGTGGCTGTGATGCTAAACTAGTTTCAGTGGAGCTTCCAGACTAAGACGGACTAGGAAGAAAGGTCTGGTGATCTACTTCTGAAAATCAGCTAGTGAAAAGTCTATGGATCATAATGGTCCAATCTGCAACCGAGCATGATGATGGCACAGAACTGGGCAGCCTTTCATGTTGTGCACGGGGTCGCCATGAGTTGGGGCTGACTCAGCAGGGGCTAACAACAATAACAAAATAGAGAACCAGTTTCATTTTCCGCCTACATATATAACCAATTATCCCAGCATAAAAGACTGTAGTTTTCCCAGTGCTCAGTAATGCCAACTCTGTCATATACCAAGTAATTATATATCTGTGGATCTCTTCCTAGAATTTCTTTTCTGTTACAGTGGTCTCTTCATATACCTATCCTAGTTACTATAGCTTTATTATAAGTCTTAGTGTCTGATAGGGCAGTTTCTCTCTCTTTATTATTCTTTTCTGGGAGTGGTTGGCTATTCTAGGACCTTTGCATTTCCATATAAATTTTATAATCAATTTATCAAATCCATTAAAAAGTTGCATTTTGATTGGGATGGCAATGATTATGTAATTAGTTTGGAGATAATTATCATCTTTACAATAGTAATTGTTCTAATCCATGAACATGATACATGTGTCTTCATTTATTTATTCCTTAATTTAAAAATTGATCTAAAATGTATAAATTTTATCCTTAGAGGTCTTGCACAATCTTTGGTTAGATTTAGTCCTAAAATTCTATTTTAAGTGGTATCTTTTTAAAAAAAATCATTTTCTGTTTGTTGCTGGATAAGAATTACATTCAAACTCGAATTATACTAGGGCCAGCTACCCAAAGTAATACATGAAAAAATATGGATGTGTTAAAATGCAAATTGTATCCTCAAAAATTGCATGGATTGTTTGAGTGGTAGTATTAGAAATAGATAATAGGAAAATTGAGCCTTTGCCTTATAAGTGGTCTTTGATAAATGACAGTGCTGTGGATTCAAAATAATGTTTGCTGTCAAAGGATTTTTAATGAATAGTATAAAAACTGACAATGGTTAAGTTTCTGACAACAGGGAATGCAACTGAATATTGTATTATAGTTCTAGTCTATTAGCTTTTTTTTTTTTTTAAAAAAAAAACCTCATGTGTGTCTCTTTTTCTTTAACTCAGGTGAAAAGGATTCAATGATTTTTGACTGCACTGAATGCTATGATCCAGTTACTAAACAGTGGACAACTGTAGCTTCAATGAATTACCCCCGCTGTGGATTGGGAGTGTGTGTGTGTTATGGGGCTATCTATGCTTTGGGTAATTATGCTGTTCAATTTAAGGATATCTAATATTACTTAAATTCTGATTCCTTTACAGATGTTTCTTCCCTCACATAAGAAACTTGTATCTTTTTAGCTTTGTAAATTCTTAATCTCTAAGGTAAATAGTCAAGCGTGACGTTTTTAGAAGATGTGTGATGTTCAGTGAATATGAGATGTCAGTGAAGTACTTTACCTGGCCAGTTAAATCTCATGATTTTAATTAAGTATATAAAATTTCTACTACTCTGTGTAGTGGCCTAATAATGTCTAATATAAGAAAGCACATACCAAAAAATTAAAGATACCCAAAAGGAATTTCTGTACTATATTATTTTCATTATTGCAGATTTAGTGAATGATCTTGAGCAAATTATTGACTTTCTTTAATTATCTGTATAACAAACGTTATAGTCAGGGTTTTTCCTAGGGAAAATTGTAACTTGACTTAGAATCAGCTTTCCCTATTTTCTCCTTGTCATTGCCTTCTTCAGCTCACTGTGTGGAACCCAGTGTTTTCTCCTATCAGACTTATTGTGGAAAAGATATCAGGCACCCCAATGTAAATTTAATGCATTGTGTTTTGTCACTCCCATATGTATCTGTGTATTGAAGTTCTACCTCTTATTGTGGGATACCTCTTACTGTAGGAAAGAACATTTCCCATTTCAAGAATTGGAGTGTGTTAAGGAAATACTACTTGTGGATGAAGGCCCCTTTTAGAGTCCCTGAAATCACACTAAATAGGCAGTATACTTTGACTAAGCTTAGAGTTGGCCTTGGTTAAGGTAACCACTCTGAATATGCAGAAGTTGTTTCAAAAGGTAGTTTTGCAAAATATCATATTCCCCATGCAATATGTTGAAAATTTTTTTTTTTTCTTAATCTCTAGTGAACACTAGACAGGGAGTTAAAAGACCTGAGTTCTACTCATGTCAAATTCTAACTTTTCATGTGATCTTGGACAAATAACCTCTCTGGTTCATGTGATACTATGATATGAGGTAGTCAGATTAGACGTTTTGTAAGTTCTTTTTCAGAAAAAAGGTTCTTTCATTTCAGAAATAAACGTTTTCTATTTGGTTACAGGTGGATGGGTTGGAGCTGAGATAGGGAACACCATTGAACGATTTGATCCTGATGAAAATAAATGGGAAGTAGTTGGCAATATGGCTGTGTCACGCTATTACTTTGGGTGCTGTGAAATGCAAGGTAATTGTTTATAAAATATTTTTACTCAAAATATATTTTTAAAAAACTGTTCAAGCATGAGACTTTCACAAAAGTATAATTTAGGTTAGTATTGAATGATTGACACCAGCAGTGTAGAACTTTTGCTTTTTATCTCATGTCATTGACCTTTATTTCTGTATTGCCAAAATAATTTGTTTTTTCCAAAATAAACAAAGCTAGAATTAAAAATTCCAGATAGGCAAAAATACCTGGCTAGTCTCGGGTCTCAAAAGCCTATGAGCAGCCATCTAAGATACTCCACTGGTGTCACCCCTTCGAGAGCAAGGGAGAATGAAGAGAACAGGATACAAGGAAAAAATTAGTCCAAAGGACTAATGGACCACAGCTACTAAGGCCTCCACCAGACTGAGTCCAGTACAGCTGGATGGTGCCCGGCTACCACCACTGACTGCTCTGACCGGGATCACAACAGAGGGTTCTGGACAGAGCTGGAGAAGGATGTAGAACAAAATTCTAACACACACATAAAAAGACCAGATTTACTGGCCCAAAGGAGACTGGAGAAACCCCGAGAGTCTGGCCCCCAGACACCCTTTTAGCTCAGTGGTGAAGTCACTTCCGAGGTTCACTGTTCAGCTGGGGATGGGATGGCCCCATAAAACCAAATGGGACTAATGAGGCACAGCAGTCCAGGGACAAGGACTAGAAGGCAGAAGGGGACAGGAAAGCTGGTGATAGGGAACCCAAGGTTGAGTAAGGACAGTGTTGACATGTAGTGGGGTTGTTAAACCATTGTCGTAGGGCAACATGTATACTGTTAACTGAGAAAATGTTTTGTTCTGTAAACCTTCACCTAAAGTGAGAATAGCAGCACAACTGGAAGAATGTAATCGATGTCACTGAATTGTGCAGGTAGAAAATTTTTTTTTTTTTAATTGTACTTCAGGTGAAGGCTTACAGAACAAATAGTTTCTCATGAAACAGTAGTACACATATTGTTTTATGACATTGGTTAACAACCCCACGACATGTCAACCCTCTAACTTCTCAACCTTTTTTTTTTTTGGTGAAAATATACATAGCCAAAGATACACCATTTCAAAAATTTCTGCATGTAGAAATTTTTGAAATGGTGTATCTTTGGCTATGTATATTTTCACCAAAAAACAAAAAAGGTCGAGAAGGGAGAGTGTTGACATGTCGTGGGGTTGTTAACCAATGTCATAAAACAATATGTGTACTATACTATTTGTTCTGTAAACTTTCACCTAAAGTACAATTAAAAAGAAAAAAAAAAATCCTGGTTAGCAAAGTAAGCATTTGAACTGGCATTCGTTATTGTCATTTCCTCTCCCATTCAGACCTTAGTATTTCTAAGTAGGGAGAGGGTATCAAAAACAGTCTTCACAGACTGTTTCTTACAGGCTTCTTCAATGTTTTTACAAGGTACATTGTGATTCTGTCCACACAGGATATAATCCTATGACAGATTTGAAAAATACTGAATATTAAAGTGGTATACAGATATTATTTTAATTGTCTTCTACATCCTGAGAGTAGGTAGTAAGTTCTGTCAAACAGGAGCTAAATTTCTGTCCAGGTTGGATTTACATGCACCTGTGGAGTAGAAAGCCATCTGTCTATAATTGTACGACAGCTCAGCCTGCTCAGGACCCAGCTCAAGTTCCTTCTGCTTTGTGGGCGCCTTCTCTGATTTCCACTAGCATTTAAATGTTTAAATTACATGGTACAGACTATTCTATTGTTTAATATTAGAGTGTTCTCTAGTTTTTTTGTATCTATTATTTTGACCTTCCAATCTAAAAATCATAGAGCTAGAGGAGGATCTTGGAGATTATCTCTTTCAGTTACTTCATTTATAGACTGGAAGCTGAAGATCAAGGAAATTGTGAGTTGTCTTTTCTTATAGCTGGTTACTGAAAAAGCTGGAACTAGAATCCAAGTTTACTAACATTTAGTCCGAGTTTCTTTTTTAACTTATAACTTTTTAACTCCTCACTTTGGAACATGAGAAAAAACTCTAGGCACTCAAAAACTGTAGACTGTCGGAACCACTGTAGGAAGTAATCATAGATTAGTTTCAAATCATAAAAATAAGGAACTCTCTGTGAATTACATTCTGTTGTATTCTAGTAATTGATCCTGATAATCTAGCCAGGTAGCCATTCTAATTAAATTCAGATATCTATGTTATTTTATGCCCATCTGAGCAACAGATAGGCTGTCACCAAACAGGGCCATGTCATTCCCACCTTAAGTGCATAACTTTTTTTCGGGGGCAAAATCCATTTACCTATGCTTGGAAGCAGTAGATTTGGAACCTGAAGTCAACAAGCAGACAATGAGATGGGAAATTTTTGTCTGGGTAAATTGTTTTGTCATAGCATCTGTAAGTTCTTTGAAAATTCAATGTCATATTAAATTCATACCCCTAATTCTTTGTAACATGCTGAAATATAAGATGTGATAAGCTAGACAGAAGTTGATTTTCTCTCTTAAATAATATTACATATGGGTGGAGTCTGCATAACGACCCAGGTAAATGAAGACACAAGACACTAAAAACTACACAAGAAAAAGAGAATTTTGGTAAATGCTGTAACATACGCAATTTTACAGCAACAGTAATAACAACCAAAAAATATGTGTGTGGTTACCTAGGTAGATACGTATGCATATATATGTATAGGAAGGCATATGCGAGTACATGACACGCATGTGTAGGCGTATCTGTAGGCATATGTATATACATGTTTGTGTGTGCTGCATATATATCCATATATATAATAAAGCACATAGGGGGCACAGTTACAGAGACTTCCTAGACATGACCAAGCAACTTACGGGATTGGATTACTGGGTTAAAAGGCTTAGGACCATAGTCTCGTAGGACAAGTTAATCAGTTAGCATAACATAGTTCATAAAGATAATGTTCTACACCCTAGTTTGGTGAGTAGAGTCTGGGGTCTTAAAAGCTTGTGAGTGGCCATCTAAGATACAACTATTGGTCTCTGTTCGTGTGGAGCAAAAGAGAATGAAGGAAACCAAAGACTCAAAGAAGAAATTAGTTCACAGGACTAATAGCCCACATGAACCACAGCATCTTCTAACCTGAGACCAGAAGAACTAGATGATGCCCAGCTACCACTACTGACTGTTCTGACCAGGGACACAATAGAAGGTCCCAGATAGAATGGGAGAAAAACATAGAACAAAACTCAAATTCCTAAAAAAAGGTCAGACCTACTGGACTGATAGGTACTAGAGGAACCCCCAAGACTGCTGCCCTAAGATAACCTTTGAACTTGGCACTGAAGCGAAGGTCACCTTTCAGCCAAATAATAGATTGGCTTATAAAATAAACAATATCTCCTGTGAATAATGTGCTCCCTTAAACAATCAACTATATGAGACGAAACAGTCAACATTTACCCAAAAGCAAAGATGAAAAGTTAAAGAGGAGAAAAGGGAAACTAGATCACTGGAAGCAGAATTAACAGAGTGGAAATAATGAGAATGCTGGAAATAATGAGAATGCTGACACATCGGGAAAGCTGCAACCAACGTCTCAGAACAATTTGTAGAAAAATTGTTAAATGGGACAAAAAAAGAGAAACGAGTAATTTTTGACAGTGCTTTGCTGTTCATATGAGTTCATTTCTGTACTCCAGTTTAAGTGCATTCTTAAGTTTCCAATGTATTATTATTATTTATTCTGCATGCATACAACTGGAAAAATTCATTTTCATCTAAAGAATTCACTAAACAATTTGCTATTGAGTCAACTGAACAAAAACTTTTCTGAGTATCTACTGTGTCTAGTGATGCAAAGACTATAAAAAATGAGTAAGTTAAGCCCCTGATCTGAGTAAGTTCGTCTCTCAGATAAATCTAACTTAACAGAAGTAGACACGAAGGCTTAAATATCAGGAGACCACATCAAATTGGAAGAATCAGGGAAAGTTTTCTGGATTAGATATCATGAGCCTTAAAGGAAGGGTAGGCTTTTGACAGATGGAAGTGTGGGGAGAGTGGTCTGGGTGGGGGACTACCAACAGCAAAGGGCTCCAAGCCAGAAAAGTTCAAAGTGTGTAGGTAGAAAGTAGTCACTAACAATCTATGTGTAACAGATCCTAGGAGGCCGTAGAACGTGTGCAAAACAGATTAGGACTTTTTATGTGCATCAGGTATGGTTTGCAGACTGAATAGTGGCAAGTCTTGCATATGTATGTATTATTTTTCAAGTGAATTGTATATACACAACTCACATCTTTGGAGCCAGGCAATACCATGTTCAAATTCAAGCTCTGAGACAACTGGGCAAGCTAATTAAGGCTCTGGGCATTAGTGTTTTTTCTTTTTTTTCCTTTCTTACAGTGGAAGTACTAAGATAACCTCTTGAATTATGATTATTAATTGGGATGTTGTTGTGGTTGTTAGGTGCCATGGAGCCAGTTCTGACTCATAGAATGAAACACTGCCCAGTCCTGCGCCATCCTTACAATCATTGCTATGTTTGAGCCCACTGTTGCAGCCACTGTGTCAGTCCATCTTATTGAGGGTCTTCCTCTTTTTTGCTGACCCTCTACTTTTTTAAAAAAATTTTTATTGTGCTTTAAGTGAAAGTTTACAGTTCAAGTTAGTTTCTCATACAAAAATTTATACACACATTGTTATGTGATCCTAGTTGCTCTCCCTGTAATGTGACAGCACACTCTTCCTTTCCACCCCAGATTTCCTGGGTCCATTCCACCAGCTCCTGTCCCTTTTTGCCTTCTCATCTCACCTCCAGACAGGAGCTGCCCATTTAGTCTCACGTATCTACTTGAGCTAAGAAGCATACTCTTCATGAGTATCATTTTATGTCTTATAGTCCCATCTAATCTTTGTCTGAACAGTTGGTTTCAGGAGTGGTTTCATTTCTGGGCTAACAGAGAGTCCAGGGGCCATGTCTTCCAGGGTCCCTCCAGTCTGAGACCATGAAGTCTGATCTTTTTACTAGAATTTGAGTTCTGCACCCCACTTTTCTCTTGCTCCATCAGAGATTCTGTTGTATCCCTTGTCAGGGCAGTCATTGGTGGTAGCCAGGCACCATCTAGTTCTTCTGGTCTCAGGCTGATGGAGTCTCTGATTTATGTGGCCCTTTCTGTCTCTTGGGCTAATATTTTCCGTGTGTCTTTGGTGTTTTTCATTCTCCTTTGCTCCAGGTGAGTTGAGACCAATAGATGCATCTTAGATGGCCACTCCCTAGCTTTTAAGACTCCAGACACCACTCACCAAAATGGCTGACCCTCTACTTTTCCAAGCATGATGTCCTTCTCCAGGGAGTAGTCCTCCTGATAACATGTCCAAAGTACATGAGACGAAGTCTTGCCATCCTCCCTTCTCAGGAGCATTCTGGCTGTAGTTCTTCCAAGACAGATTTGTTCATTCTGGCAGTCTGTAGTATATTCAATATTCTTTGCCAACACCATAATTCAAAGGCATTAATTATTCTTGGGTCTTCCTTATTCACTGTCCAGCTTTTGCATGCATATGAGGTTACTGAAAATACCATAGCTTGGGTCAGGTGCAGCTTAGTCCTCAAAATGACATCTTTACTTTTTAAAACTTTAAAAAAGGTCTTTTGCAGCAGACTTGCCCAATGCAATATGTTGTTTAATTTCCTAACTGCTGCTTGCATGGGCATTGATTATGGATCTAAGTAAAATGAAATCCTTGACAACTTCAATATTTTCTCCATTTATCATGATGTTACTTATTGGTCCAGTTGTGAGGATTTCTGTTTTCTTTATGTTGAGGTGTAATCCTTACTAAAGGCTGTAGTCTTTGATCTTCATCAGTAAGTGCTTCAAGTCCTCTTTACTTTCAGCAAGCAAAGTTGTGTCATCTTATCCCATTAATTGCGATAAGGCACATAAATTGTTCATCACTTAGCAATCAACAAAAAGCTGTTACTGTTCTTATTATTCCATTGTGATTTAGAAATTAAACTAGAAATTCAATTAAAAAAATAAATAATATTTATATCCCACATTAAGTATAGCATCAGCATAGGCAACTTAGATTACAAGTATTACTTTTTTATTAATTATTTACATTCTATTTTCTATAACATCTGAACACAAATATTCCATTTCCAGGTTTAATTTATGTAATTGGGGGCATCAGCAATGAAGGAATAGAGCTTTGTTCTTTTGAAGTTTATGATCCACTTTCTAAGCGCTGGTCTCCACTTCCTCCAATGGGAACCAGAAGAGCATATCTTGGCGTGGCTGCACTTAATGACTGCATCTATTCTATTGGAGGATGGAATGAGACACAAGATGCTCTTCACACTGTAGAAAAATATTCCTTTGAAGAGGTAGGTTGGATAATTTCAAATGTTTAGTATCCTATTATTATTTTAATGTTTGTTGGATAGGTAGTGTGCTCTCTTTCATTCATGATACTGATAATTTGTGTGTCTCTCTTTTTTCAAAGAATCAGTTTTTAGTGTCATTGATTTTTTTTTTTTTTTGGCTTGTCCATTTTCTACTTCATTGATTTCTGTTCTTATTTTTTCCTTCCTTCTATTTGTTTTGGGTTTAATTTGCTCTTCTTTCTCTAGATTCTTAAATTGGAAGCTTAGATTAATGATTTTAGACCTTCCTTCTTCTCTAATATAAGCCTTTAAAGCTATAAATTTCCCTCAAGCACTGCTTTACCTTCATCCTACACATTTTGACTTGTTGTGTTTTAATTAGCATTTATCTCAAAATATTTTCTAATTTCTTTGGTAATTTCTTCTTTGACCAATGGGTTATTAGAAGTATGTTATGTAATTTCCACATATTTGGGAATTTTCCAGATACGTTTTTGTTACTAATTTCTAATTTAATTCCATTGTGATCAGAGATTTGTGATTCCTGTTTTAGTACACATTTAATCTATACCTGAAAAAAATTTGTATTCTGTTGTTGAGTGTGGTGTTCTATAAATGTCAATTAGGTCAAGTTGGTTTTTAGTGTTGTTCAGGTCTCCCCTAGCCTTACCAACTTTCTGTCCAAATATTCTGTCAGTTACTGAGAAAGGAGTGTTGAAGTCTCTATCTGTAATCATGGATTTGTCTATTTACCCTTTCAGTTGTCATGTTTTGCTTCACATATTTTAAAGCTCTGTTATTGGGTGTATACACAGTGGAATTATTATGTCTTCTTGATGAATTGATTCTTTTATTATTATAAAATGTTCCTCAATGCAGCTTGAATTTCTTCCTTAATTACCAGCAGTTCTTGATCATATGCTACCTCCTGAAATGGTTTAATGTCGATTAAGTCTTTTTGGTACACTGACTGTGTGAATTCCTCCCTTCCTCTTTTGATGTTTCCTTTGTCATTCAACTTTTTGCCCATAGAGCCCTTCAGTATTGCAGCTTGAGGCTTGAATTTTTCTTGAGTTATTTCAGCTTGAGAAATGCTAATCATGATCTTCTCTTTTGGCTTCTTAACTCCAGCTCTTTGCACATTTCATCATAATACTTTATTTCGTCTTCTCAAGCTGCTCTTTGAAATCTGTTCAGCTCTTTTACTTTATCATTTCTACTGTCTGCTTTAGCTACTCTGTGCTTAAGAGCAAGTTTCAGAGTCTCTTCTGACATCCATTTTGGCATCTTCTTGTCTAGTTTTTCTATATGGCTGTGAAATTAACAGGTTTTAATTCCAAAGTAAATGCTTATTAATGATGAGTTACCTTGATTTTTCATGCATAAATCTGAAAGTGATAGTTATTTACTATCTAACTAAAGTCCTAAATTAGTGATACTGTTATTTACTATCTAACTAAAGTCCTAAATTGAGGGCAGTTGTCATTCAGTGATAGAGTTCTTGCCTTCCATGTGGGAGAGACCTGGGTTTGATTCCTGGTGAGTGCGCCACAAGTGCACCCACAACTCATCTGTCAGTAGAGGCTTGCATGTTGCTATGATGTTAAACAGGTTTCAGCAGAGCTTCCAAACTAAGACAGGCTAGGAAGAAAGGCCTGGTGACCTACTTCCAAAAATCAGCCAATGAAAACCCTCTGAATCACAACACTCCAATCCTGTTGTGCATGGGGTTGCCATGATTTGAGGCCAACTTCACAGCAGCTAACAACAACAACAGAGTCCTACATCATAGATCCAAACCCTTAAGATAATGTAAAACATGTTTCTGGTCTTAACAGAGTTTATTTGAAGATGATTCAGGATAAAAAGCAAACTGTAGTTCTAAAACATTGATGGAAATGAAAGATAAACAATACAGGATGAGCCCATGGTCCCTTTATTCTTGTCAAAGGGCATTTTGTGGGAGAGCAAAGGTTCTCCCTAATGATAAACATAACCCAAAACATCCTAATTTATCTTACCCAAATATGGATCTTTTTGTGAATATATCTTATCTTTTAAACTATAAGGATTTTTTCTGTTATGCCAACTTTGTGATGTGTTCTGTAATTTCAGAGGATCCAACAACCTTGAAATTTAACCTGGTCCTTCAATTTCAAAGGATTTTTCTGAATTTTAGGATTTAAGTTCAGATCAGCAATCATACTTTGACTGTCTATAATGTGTTGGCACTATACTAGGTACTAGAATATGAAGCTCATTAGGTCCCTGCCTTCAAAAAGTTCATTTTCTAGCATTAATGAACAATCACTATTTACTTTTTATGACCTCAAAAACTTCATTCATCATATGCTTTATTTCCAGATTGACAACTTACTCATTTTTTACCTGGCCACTTGTTCTTTCCTCTCGATTACTTCCCAGGACCTTTGGTGGCTTCCTGTTTTCCGGGTATAGATGTTTTCCCTGGAGTAGGATATTACTGGTCATTTTGGCTATAGCAACTTATTGAAATTTCTTCAGGGAACAATGTATAGGAGGAGTTAACACACTTCTTAGGTTAAGGGCCTGCAGTCTGCATACATTGTCTTCTTTAGACATATTCTTTTGTTTATTATTCCAACCTTCTAAAATGGAAAAATCATTCTGAGTCTGCAGGCTCTACAAAATCAGGCCATAGTTTCTAACCCTGGTTTATAGAACCATTTCTGAAAATATGTTCTGCAGATCACTAATTCCACTCTGTCGCCCTTGAAAAAGGTTTCCATGGTCAAATAAATTTGGCAAGTATTATATGCTATTCTCTTTGAGATGTGTAAGTCATATTACCATATTAAAGGTTTTAAAAAACTCTTTGCTATATAAGGTTTCTCCTTGGAGCTTCGGTGTTTGTTTGCATGCATTACCTATTTGTATTCCGCAGAACTAGTTCCTCAGAATGCCGGCCTATGTATGATTTCTAGGTAATCTCTTGATCATAATTTATGATTTTAATCATAGATGTGTTTTTCAGCTCTTTGCTTCTGAATTCGTTACTTTTCCTCATGGAAGTTCATTTAAATACATTCTAAATACTTGTCTGACTGGATTGTGAATTTGAACTTAAGCATGCAAATAAGCCAGAGTATCTGATTTCTCAGCAATTGTCTCTATTCCAATCATTTTATGATTATAATATACATATTTTTTTTCTCCTTTAACCAGGAAAAGTGGGTTGAAGTTGCCTCAATGAAAGTGCCTAGAGCAGGCATGTGCGTTGTGGCAGTCAATGGGCTTCTGTATGTTTCTGGAGGTCGATCTTCCAGCCATGATTTCTTGGCCCCAGGAACCTTGGACTCAGTTGAAGTTTATAACCCTCATTCAGATACATGGACAGAAATTGGTAATATGATCACCAGTCGTTGTGAAGCAGGTGTTGCTGTGCTATGAAGTATAAAGCATACAAGCACACCAGAAACATTTTGAAAATACAGGACCTGACCTTTTGCAAATCAAGTGTATATTTGGTGATAGGACCCTCTGATTTTATTGAGTCTTCCATGTATTTTGTTGAGAAGTGACTAAAGAGGGATTTTTATAAGAATTTGAGAAGGTATATGGAAAATATCCTAAATTAATAAAGAGCTCACACAAATTTGCTAAGCTTACTAACAACAGAAATGCTGTTTATGCTCTAGAATTGTCCAGTTAAGGGTAGAGTCCTATTTGTAAAAATGATTTTTTAGAGGCTTCTTGACTAGTTGTCCCTTTAGCTGCTTCTCCAGTGCAATTCAAACTGCAACACGACCTTTATGTGATACAGGAATAATAGCAATGTGACAGTTTGAAGATCTCTGTACATTTATTCAAGGCAGAGCACAGTTTTCCATGACCATAATTTAACGTACAGAGAAAAACCAATGTAACAACTTCCCTACTTTTACTTGATGCCACGAGTTTTCACTAGCCTCAAACTTTTTATTGGCAGCAGATATACTAGGAGTAGCCTGCAGGAAATATCTAGCTAGCTATATAGGTAGACAGATATTTGCCTGTTGATAACAGCTTGATAACAACATAAGGAAAACTTTTGCTTGCTCATGTTTTTTGTCTTTATGCTGAGAATGCAAGTAAGAAATTAATAGGAAATTCTTACTGACAGTGCTTTATTGCAGTAGGATAATCTAATGGGTGATAGGGCCTGACAGGAGGTATCACGTGCCTAGGAAGTTTCTCTGTTGTTTTCTAGATAGTTGCCAAAAATAACTCATGTTTGGCTTTGGAAAGAGGGAATTTTATTAGCTGAACAAGCTTTGTGCAGGTTACTTGTACCTGGGCAAGCCTAACCACAAGCTTACTACAAAGCCACTGCCTAGACTGTGTTGAAAAAGACTATTTGTAGGTACCTGTGAAACTTTTTATAGACACTGATTCATAAGTTCAAAGGCCCTAATCCAAAACTACTTCTAAAACTTCGCATTTCCCCCAAGAAGCCTTTTAAAGAATTGTTCTCTGTTCCATTCTGAAAGGAAGATTCATCATGTACATGATCATTACTCTTTATTTTTACTAGCCAGTTGGAGCCATATATGTTAAAAGTCTTGCATGTATTTAGGTTTAACTAGCTGACTCAAGGATTTGATATGTATATCCCCGATTTCCCTATTTCTTTACTAAGGCCCCTCAGTGTATTGTTATAGACATCAACAGCCTTATTTAGATAGAAAATCTTTGGTAAGCATTAAATTACTCAGGTAGCACTCATATCCAAAATATTTGGATTGGCCTACAAGGACATTTTAATAATCACATTTGTGTATCAGGAAAAGCTTACATAGTGCAGACAGATAGCTGTGTCCCCTTCACTGGGGTATCTTGAAAGTCTGAAGGGTCACAGATACCTGGTTGGGATCTGTAAAATGTCAAAAGAATGAAGTGAGATGCCTGGTTGGGATCTGTAAAATGTCAAAAGAATGAAGTATCAAGATAATTTGTAATTATTTAAGCTTTAACTTATGTGCCTTTAATATTTCTAGTTACAGAGAATCTGCACTGTGGTTCAAAACAGATTTACAGAATGCTCCTGCAGTTTCTCATTATTGCCTAGAACCTACTTAAAGTGGCACTGTGAAGAGACTTTACACTGCTATATAAAAATATAATGTCAAGATTATGGAGGTGATTCAGGATAAAAAGCAAACTGCAGTTGTAAAACACTGATAGAAATGAAAGACAAATAATACGGGATGAGCCCCACAGTCCCTTTATTCTTGTCAAGGGGAAAAAGATTTTTAAGGTCCAGAAGATTCCTGAAAATAGGTAATTTTAAGTATGCTTATTATTTCCTAGACAATGACAGATTGTTTAAAAAAAAAAATGTACTAATAAAGCATCTACATATTTTCTTTTCTTTGTATTACTTAATTAGCAGCGTTCCCGGATTACTAAACTGTAGTATAATTGCCCAGGTTTTAAAGTTTGTTTTGTTCTAACTTTTGGGATTTGCACATTTATTCTACCTTTGTTTTTTAGCAACTTTTAAAGTGATCTTCCTCCAAAATATCTGACAATTGAAAATGCAATATCCTGTCAATTTCAGTTAAAATCAAATGTTGTTAAAAATAAGAAGCATATACTGTAATTCAGCTGTAATACAGCATTTTTAGTGTAATTGGGCAATTAGCTTAAAAATATGACTTATCCCTAGTTTTGGAATATGATGTTATTTAATTGAGATCAAGGAAGTTTGGCAAGTTTGTACAGTATTCATGTAATTTAGGAAAGAAATGAGTTTCCTCACCAAAACCAGTAGAATTTGAGGAAGGTCTTCTAAAGGGTATGGGCTTCCTTTCCTTCCTTATTATGCTGCAGAACTATTCTTTACATTAAAAAAAAAAACAAAGGCTTCTATAGTGGTTTCAGCCATGGGCTTTAACTGGTAAGCTTTTCAGTGGTCAGAACTAGGTCTCGCTCTGTGGTTTGTAAGAGAAGTATACAAGTTCACACTCTAGTCCCTGATAAATTTTGTCATAGTAAGAATCACTAGAGTGGATATCATATGGATATAATTTACTTATGAAGTTTAACTTAGCTAATATTTGAATATATTATACAAAGATAACACATACCAGGTGATATCCTTTCCTATAATTTCTATTCTTACACCATTTAAAATGTTTTCCCTTTTGTGAGACTAGGAATTTCAAGAGACTAGGTTTTCAAGTTAGAACCCAAAGTGTCTCTTACAGTTTTTAAAAAGAGTCTCTGTGAGTTAACAGATATAGAACTAGATAAGCCTGCTCTTCAGATCGAGTTGACTCCACTTCACTTTTACCCAATTTATATGTACTAGTGGCTTTATTATTTAAATGTTTTTGATCAGCTGGTGTTAAACGTGTTTGGTGATCAGGAAGGGGATAAGCTGCATCTATACCATGCCAAATATCCTGATTAAAAACTAAAAAACGTGTCCAGTTTTTTCTTGAAGTTTGCTCTCCCTTGTGACCGTTCCCTACTGGCTTTAGAGTCACAGATCCTTTCAGCTCATGTAACTGGGTTATACCAGGTAAAATGAGCCTGGAAATGCAATGCCAAGAGGCAACTGCCATGAAACATCACACTGAAACCACCTGTTACCTTCAGACACTCGTGGATGCAAGAGGTTTTCCTCTTGAACTGGGAGATTGTGCTTTTTTAAAAAAATAAAGTCTAGCAAGAGGGCTTTTTCTTTTTTTAATTTTACAATTTTCAAGACAAAACACTGAACTATCTAAGTGGATAACTATATAATTCATAAACACTGAATGAGGACTATAGACTGAATGAGGACTATAACCTAATGTGACTGTCTTACTTATCTAGTGCTGCTGTAACAGAAATACCACAAGTAGATGGCTTCAACAAAGAAAAATTTATTTTCTCACAGTCTAGTAGGCTAGAAGTCCAAATTCAGGGCGTCAGCTCCAGGGGAAGGCTTGCTTTCTCTCTGTAGGCTTTGAAGGATGTCCTTTGTCATCAATCTTCCCCTGGACTAGAAGCTTCCCTGTGCAGGAACCCCCGGTCCAAAGGACGCGCTCTACTCCCAGTGCTGCTTTCTTGGTGGTATGAGGTCCCCCACCTTCTGCTTGCTTCCCTTTCATCTCGACAGACTAAAAGGTGGTACAGGCTATACCCCAGGAAAACTCCCTTTACACTGGATCAGGGATGTGACCTGGGTAAGGGTGTTACATCCGGCGCTAATCCTCTTTAACATAATCTAACCTTGCCTCATTAACCACAGGCAAAGATCAGGATTTATAACACATAGGAAAATTACATCAATCCAAAATGGAGGACAGCCACACAATACTGGGAATCATGGTGTAACCAAGTTGACACATATTTTTGGGGGACACAATTCACGACAGTGACCATAACCTAATGTGACATGAATAGGAGATGTGAGGGATTAAGCTCTTGTTCAAGTTACTATAATTATTTCCAGAAATGAAAAACAATCTGTGAAGAATAAATTACCATTGGTGGAAGAAAAGAGAAGTAGAAAATGGTAATGTCAAAATGCAACCTTAAAAGTTCATAGCCAACACACTAATGACATCTACAGAGTGGTTTTATATTTACACTACTTGACCAGGTTTCTTGGGTCCTTTCTCTGGATAAATATCTTTAAGTAACAAAGTGATTACAAATGAAAAAAAGGCCACTAAAGTGACTACTCTCCTCAGGGCTTTGAACCAATTGGGATAATGTGGCAAGAGAAAAAGTTCAATGTGTAATGCTATCCCTAAACCTATTATTATTGTGACTATAGCTTCACCGAGTGTTTCAGAAATAAGGACAGCAAACCATGAAAACACAACAGGAACTATACTATTAGCTAAATTAAGGAAGTCTGGTTGTGCTGGCCTACTTTCTAGCAGAGCAAAACCCCATCTGACCCCTCCCAAGAAAGATAGGAAACTGGCTCCATAAGCCATCTGAGTAAAAGCTAATAGGGGGATGTAAGTCTTTGTCATCACCATAACCAGTGGTGGAGCAACAAAGGGGACCAGTCCTGCCAGAGTTATGTACACAGCTGACTTTGGACTATCTGACAGGTAAGTGATGGTACTTGGTGACCTTGCTGAAAGTTCTGCTTGCTTCCGCTTTTTCTTAAAACAGCATGGGGAAGTATGGAAACATTGTATTTTGCTCATACACTCTGGAAATGATGACAAGTGCCAAGGCCTTGCAAACAAAAGGAATGATGTCTTGATTAAAAGTTTATCTATTCTCTTGCTGGCTGTTACTCTCACTGTGAAAGGGTACCTCAGCATCTATAAAGAAAATAGAACCAGAAGACAGAAATAGATTTAAAAAAAAGCACCAGATTTCTTGGTTAACCCCAGTTTGAAACAATATAAAAACAAACCATCTGCTTTCCATTAGCACATCAAACTTTATAGGAAGGTTGAACTACTGATAAGACTACTAATCACATATACAACACGCGAAAGAACCTACTGAATAGAAACCAGTGATGTGCTCAGTCTACCACTAGTCTTATTCTGTAAGAGAAATATCTGAAAAAGGAACAGGTAAAAGACTAGGCCTTCAGCATTTGGCTTTCTAAACTGCCTCTTCTGTTTATAACTTGTAAAAGCAGCAGCACTAATTACTGTGGGAATGCTATTTTATGTACAGAAAAGCAAACTACCTTCCAATTTAGCATTATAAACTCTATACTTTTCACAGCTCCATGCCTTTGTACATGTCTCTGCCTAGAATTCTAGCTTTTACTACTTTTCTGAGGAACTTGTCTCATCATTCAAAATTCAGCTTGAAGCTTACCTTAACTTCTCCACAGTCTGATTTAATAGTAAGTACCCTACGCACACTTCCATCATAATTCTCACAGTGAATTAAAATTGCATGTCTCTGTCTCAGTAGACTTGAGAGCCAGGACCATATTTGCTTTGCCTTTTAAAAAGATCCCCAGTGCCTTTCATGGTACATGCCAAAGTAATGATCTTCCCTTCTGATTCTGTGCTTTAGTGAGCAGATGTCAGACTTCAACTAGTAAACAGAAGAACAGTAGCTAAAAAAGTGTTGGATGAAAGAAAACATGAAACTTAACTTAAAAATCTTGGTGATTTTTCAAACATACTAGGAATGATCCTATCTTGGGGCCTTTCTTCCTTGTCTGGAACGCTCTTCCCTCAGCTACCTACATGGCCCACTCCCTCCCTCACTTCTGACCATCTTACTTACAAGTGCAATCCTATGCTTACTCTTTTTGTGTGTGTGTGTAGTAAAAGTATATATGACAAAACATTTGCCAATTCAACATTTTTTACATGTACAGTTCAATGATACTGATTACATTCATCATGTTGTACAACCATCAACATTATCCATTTCCAAATTATTCCATCACCATTAACAGAAGCTCAGTGCCCCATAAGCAATGACTCCACCATTCCCTTCCCTCCCACCTCTCGTAACCACTGATAAACTCTGGTCTCTATACATTTGCCTATTCTAGATATTTCATATAAGTGGGATCATACAGTATTTGTTCTTTTGTGACTTATTTCACTCAGCATAGTGTTTTCAGGTTTATCCACGTGGTAGCATGTATCAGGACTTCATTTCTCTTTAGGCTGAGTACCTATACCTATTATTGACAATCCCTATTTCCCTTCCCTGCTTTATAGTTCTCCACAGCACTTACCATTTGACATACTAAATATTTTACTTTTTTGCTTATTATTCACCCCTCCCTTTACTTGAATACATGAAGACAACGATTTTTTTTTTTTTGTCTTCTTTCTCACTGCTATTGCTCTAGCCAGAGCCTTGCCTGGCAAATAGTGCTCAAATAGTTGCTAAATAAACCAACCTTTGAAGATGCTCGAGAAAATTTCTGGATGAAGTGAAGCATACTGGGCTCTATTGAAAGTCTTGTTCAGGAAGATGCAAGGCAGTTCTGATCAACATGTTCTTATGGTTAAGTGGAAGGGCTGAATTAGAAGCATTTTGCTGTGTACAAAACAAGACGTCATTTAATTTTTCTCATTTTACTCATAATTTTTAAAAAGTAGAAACTCGTGAGAATTTCTTCCGTATAACAGTTTCCTACGAAAAGAGTCAATATGTTTTCAAAGAATAAGTAACACATTAAGGAAACAGGTCCTTTTCTTCCCTGAAATGTTCATTAGCTTTGTTGCGTGGTATAACAGAGTAATGTAGAGACAGATCTGGATTTTACAAATAGCTCCACCACTTCCAGCTGTGTGACTCTGGACAAATTGCTTCCTTAGGTGCCAGTATTCTCATCTTCAAAAATGAAGATCACAGCTTCTCTGTTCTCTTTTTTCCCCCTTAGCTATTTACTTTGGGGGTAAGACTTCAAACAGCTCAAAATAATGATGGCAGGCAATCAATCAATTTAGTTGTGAACCAGGCACTATTTTTGTGTTTTAAACGCATTAACTCATTTAATGATCACAATAACTTCAAGTTGGTACTGAGAGACAGTATAGACTAAAAGAGTGCAGATTTTGGAATCAAGGAACTCCTGGAATCCTGGCTCCACCATTTATTAGCTGTGTGACTTTTGGCAGTTATTAACTTTGCTATGGTTCAGCTCACTCGCCTCTGAAATAAGGATAATAATCCTCATAGGGTCCTTAAATGAGTTAACACATATAACCAGCTGAGAACTATCCCTAACAAAGTAAGAGTTCAAGAAATATTAGCTATGTTCCCATCTTACACCAGAGGGAATGGTTAAAAACCATGTCCACCTGTAAGCAGCCAGTAAGTGGCTGAGTGAAAATATGAATCCAGATGTGACCCGAGTCACATTCTTAACCAGGAGAATGAACAGTCTAAAAAAATAAAACCCACACTTACTGCTTAATTAAAATAAATAATTTTATTGAATTAATTTCTTGATCACAGATTCTAGGCCTGGGTCGAGAAATCATTTATACCAATGCCTTCATTTTACGTAAGAAAGTTTTCTCTGGCCTCTGACTTTTCTCCGGACTTCCAGACTCAAATACCCGCAAGGCCCACACCCTCACCTTTGTTCAAAGTCGCTTTTTTGGTAAGGACTTTCCGGACTACCCTATTTAAAATCTCAACCGTCTCCCCACCTTCGGAATTGCCTATTCACTTTGGCACAGGGCTTGCCAACTCACGGGTATTAAAGCGAAAAAGTGATTGCCTAAAATCCTCATTGTGGGGATTAAGGACAGAGACCCAAGAGTTAATCCACTCAATTTAAGTGAAAACTCTCAGTATTTCCACTGTTCGGATGGAGAAAATTGTAAACTGCAAGCCTCAAAACCCACATCCGAGAAAAGGGGGCGGAGTCTGGACTCAAGGACCCCCGAGAAACCTTGCCCCATGGTGCCCGCGCCTCCTATCTTCTACCAAGCCGCAGTGCCCTTTTTCCTTCTTTCCACTTGTGGTGGTCCCGGTACTTACTTGCCAGGAGACGGAAAACCAGAGCGCGACAACAGTCTCCCGCTCGTGAAAGAGCATTTCCGGCGAGCAGGGTTAGACAGCCCCCACTTCCTGAGAGACGGTAAATGAGTTCGGATGGGAACTTGACTTGCACTAATTAGTTCCCATTCTGGGATAACCGCCTTGGGGTCTTCTTTTTTTTTTTTATATACATATAATATTTTACATATATAATATTATATATATAATATATATTTATTGTACTTTAGATGAAGGTTTACAGAACAAATAGTTTCTCATTAAACAGTCAGTACACATATTGTTTTATGACATTGGTTAACAACTCCATGACAGGTCAACACTCTCCCTTCTCGACCTTGGAGGACTTATTTTTTGTTGTTGTTGGTGAAAATATACATAGCCAAAGTTACACCATTTCAAAATTTT